TCATCATCATCATCATCATCATCATCATCATCATCATCATCATCATCATCATCATCATCATCATCATCATCAGCATCAGCAGCAGCATCATCAGCATCATCATCAGCATCATCAGCATCATCATCATCATCAGCCTCATCATCCTCATCAGCATCAGCATCATCATCAGCATCATCACCAGCATCATCATCATCATCATCGTCATCGTCGTTATCAGCATCATCAGCATCATCATCATCAGCATTAGCATCCGCATCAGCATCAGCATCATCATCATCATCATCATCATAAGCATCATCATCATCAGCATCAGCATCATCATCATCAGCATCATCATCATCATCATCGTCATCGTCATCAGCATCATCAGCAGCATCATCATCATAATCAGCAGCAGCAGCATCCGCATCATCATCATAATCATCATCATCATCCACAGCAGCATCATCATCATAATCATCATCATCAGCAGCAGCAGCGTCATCATCAGCATCATCATCATCATCGTCATCGTCATCAGCATCATCAGCATCAGCATCATCATCATCACCATCATCATCATCATCAGCAGCAGCAGCGTCATCAGCATCCTTCTTTCATCCTCCTCCTCCGCCTCCTCTTCATCCTCCTCCTCCGCATCCTCCTTCCCCTCCTCTTCCTCCTCGTCCTCATCATCCTCCTCCGCCTTCTCCTCCTCCGCCTCCTCCTCCTCCTTATTCTCCTCGTTCTCCTCCTCCTCCTCCTCCTCCTCCTCCTCCTGCTGTTCCTCCTCCTCTTCATCCTCCTCCTCCTCCTTCTCCTGCTCCTCCGCCTCATCGTCCTCATCTTCCTCCTGCTCCCCTTCCTCTTCCTCCTCCTCCTCCTCCTCCTCCTCCTCCTCATCCTCCTCTTCCTCCTCCCCCTCCTCATCCTCCTCCTCCTCCTCATCCTCCTCCTGCCCCTCCTCTTCATCCGCATCCGCTTCCTCCTGCTCCTGCTCCTCCTGCTCCTGCTCCTGCACCTCCTCCTCTCCTCCTCCCCTCCTCCTCCTCGCCCTTCTCCTCCTCAGCTCATCCTCCTCCTCCTCCCTCCTTCTCCTCCTCCTCCTCCTCCACCTCCTCCCATCCTCCTCCTCATCCTCCTCCTCCTCATCCTCCTCCTCGTCTCCACCTCCGCCTCCTCCTCCTCCTCCTCCTCCTCCTCCTCCTCCTCATCTTGCTGTTTCCTCCTCCTCTCCTCCTCATCATCCCCCGCTTCCTCCAACTCCTCCTCATCCTCCTCATCCTCCTCCTCCTCCATCCTCCTCCTCCTCCTCCTCCTCTCTTCCCTCCTCCTCCTCCTCCTCCTCCTCCTCCTCTCTCCTCCTCCTCCTCCTCCAACTCCTCCAACTCCACTCCTCCTCCTCCTCCGCCTCCTCCTCCTCCTCCTCCTCCTCCTCCTCCTCCTCCTCCTGCTCCTCCGCCGCCTCGTCCTCCTCCTCCTCCTGCTCCGCCTCCTCCTTGTCATCCTCCGCCTCCTTCTCCTCCTCCTCCGCCTCCTCATCATCCTCTTCCTCCTGCTCATCCGCCGCCTCCTGCTGCTCATCCTCCTCATCATCCTTGTTCCTCCCTTCTTCTGGGTGCTGGATCACCCAACTTCTCGACCCGCGCAACGCGGCGCGCGAGGCGCGGCCATTGTCGCACCCTCGCAGGGCCCCCCTCCAGACAAGGGCAGCACGGCGGCCCCTGCTGCGACGTGCCACGCAAAGTTGGTTGTGATTGAACATCCAGCTGCGAACATCAAACCCCGACCCACAAAACTCAAACTTCGCACCCCAAGCCGCAAACATCAGATCCAAAACCTCGAACCCCACACCTCAAACCTCACACATCAAGCCCCAAGCCCCGTGGGTTACCTAGCAAATTATGTTGTATGATTGCGCTCGAGAGGTGCTCGGGGAGGCTCTCAGGGACTCTCACCGATGCGAGCGACGGGCACCCTCGTGCGGATTGGGACATCCCCACGCAAGTGGACCGAGCTGTTTCAGCTGCGAGCGGCCATATGGAGTTCGATTCGAAAGGATGTGACTGGCACCGCGACTGGCCTGCAGTTGTGGTAGGAGTAGCTCCGAAGGCAACTCGCCAGAACGTGGACAATTCAGAAACGAGAGTTGCGAGGATGTCTCAGGCGAAACGGCCCACCCCACCAATTTTTTTTGAGGACGACCATGCTTTGATTTCCCTCGGCCCGAGTTAGCTTCTATCACAACAGCACCCCGTTCAGCAAGCTGTTTGGGGAAAAAAAACGTTCTCGACAGCGCTCTCCGGGCACCCCACGAAGAATTCCTCCAGACCCTCACCCACGTCTCGTTTGTCGTCATCGCCGCCGCCGCCGTCCTCGTCATCGTCCCCCTTGGGCGCTGGCGGTGCGTTTTGGCAACGCCAGTGGGAGGAAGGATCTGCTAACGACGCCCATGCTCGTGCGGTAGCAACTCAAGTAAGTGCGGTGTGTCCGCGAGCGCCAAGACCGCGAGGCGCGGTGCGCGACTGCCACCGTCAACCTTCAGGGTCGGCGGCACCGGACGGACGCAAGGCGTCCTCCACATAATATTTCACGAATGACTCCCCGTGCGCTCTGGAAGGCTCCCAGCTGGCGTCCCAGACCGCCCGATGTCCCGAAGGAGGCAAGGATGGCCCCAAAGGCGAGTGCAGCGCTTGCACCGACCCTCCTTGCGAAGCCGTAGCCCCCAAACACCCACCAATCGCGAACCGTGCGTATCCGCGTCCCCGCGGGGCCCGCCGTGACTCCCGCGCTACGGGCCCCACGCAGCGGGCCTCTCTGCGGAAGCGGAGCGGGAGCAGGGCGACCAGAGCCGCGTTGAGCTGCGGTGCACTTGCAGAGCTCCGAGAGGAAGAGTGGAGATCGCGCGCGCAAAGTGGATGCTAGGAGCGGCTCTGCGCATTCCGCTGGCCTGCAAGCGCATTCCGCTGGCCCGATGAGGGGATCCCCTCAGCACAACAGGTTCTGCGCCTCGGCTGGAAGCTACGGCAGAGAAACGGAGGAGGCAGATGTCGTAAATCAGGAGATGAGGACGGGGCAATGGAGAACAAGATATGGACAGCAGCATACGCCTCAAGCTGCAGAGATTCAGATCACCTGGCCTGGTCCTGCATACCCCCCTCCCAGCCTGGGACGGCCCACCCCGCAACTATCGGGGGAAGCCCGCTGATACCCCCCCGTATCGCTACCCAGAGGCGGCCCGGAGAGGCCAAGAGGGTGCCAAAAAGAGCCAAGAGGGTTCCAAGAGGCCCCCGAGACGGTGCAAGAAGGTCCCGAGCTGCCCAATACGGCCCAGGAGGACTCCCAGAGCGATGTCAAAAAACTCTGTCGAGCAGGTCCCAATCGACAACCACTGGGTCAGCACC